AAAGGAGAGGAAACGAGCGACTGCTCACGATTGCTAGGCTAGCGGAGTATCGGCAGAACGCAGCCAGTGTCAACTCGCTGGAAAAGTATCAAGCAAGAAAATAATATATTTTATCAAAGATTTATTACCTAAAATGCTCCGAAAATACAATAAATTATATTATTATGTTACAAACACGCTGTGGTCGTTTTATATACAATATAACTATAATCTACCATTCAAAAAGGAACACAATCTGTATGATTTCGCTGTAAATTGGTTTCGTCTTATTACTTCCTCCAATACTGCGCAAATTTGTGGAGTTGTTCTACCAGCACAGCCATTACCGCGGTGACCGACAAGTCTAAAAGATTGTGCACGTAGTGCACCGCCTCTTCGTCGCTCAAGTCCAATCGCAATTTATCTTGGACCTTCTTCACGGCTTTGTCCGGTTCTAGGGCGATATCGGGCACACTGGCGTCTACCATCAACGAGAACAGATTCAATATCAAATTGGCATGCCTACGCAAATGTAGAAATGCCGTGTAACATTGCTTCCGGAATTCGTGATAATGTTCAGAACCGACACCGCCCATAGCTTCGACCATCTCCTTGCTGAGTTTCATAGGAGGAGGGAGAGGCTTCGGATCTCTGTTTAATATGTAGCCAAAATCGATGTGAAAGAGTTTGCCTGCGAATTACAAAATACTGCGCGTTTGATATATTTTGGTTTCGTTAGAGAAAGAGAAAGAGAGAGAGAGAGAGAGAGAGAGAAAGAGAGAGAGAAAACCTTTAGCAAAAACGTTGGCGAGAACAATACCTGATGCCGTGAGAAGCAGATTATCCAAGTGACGATCGCCGACGCCCAGTACATATGTAATTATGCAATAACCAGCTGCATAATTTGAAAGATATTATTTAAATGATGTATCATTTATTATATCGTTTTTTTTTTTTTTTTTTTTTTTTAGAATTATACATATTATTCGTGTTTACCGCAACTGCGAACGTATGTGTCCATGACTTCAGGTACTACTCCGTAAGGTCCAGTTTCGGAAGGATGGTGTTTTCGAAAGAAATTCAATATCGATCCTTCGCTAGCCAGAACTTCCGCAACTGTTGTAGATTCGATAAATTGTACAAAACCATGCTTAGTGCTTGTTGCGAGCACCCTGAAATCCCACAATCGAGTCATTAGTAATAATAATAGTCTTACGTAATATTCATTAGCTTTTACATAAACTGCTTTTTACCTATACGGAGTTAGTTTCAAGTCCAAATTCTCCCTTCTCAATAATTTATCCATAAGCGCTATCGTTTGCAAAATTAATTGATCTTGTCGTAAATCGTCTCCGTGTTTAAAGATGGCAATATACTCGGTATTATCTGTCGTCAAGAATGTGAGTTTCGATGGCATGAGCGCAGACTTGAAAAGACTTGCCCTATAAAATCAATTGAGTAAATATATAAATATGAAGAAGCATGAACATTGGTGGACAAACATCAAACAACTTGAATGTATACTTTTCCGGGATAATTCCCTTGATACAAATTTCAGGATCCAAGGGGAAAGGTATCGGCTCGAAATTCGAGAAATTAATCTTGAACGCCGGATCTGGGTCTGTCAGTAATGCTCTCAATCTATCAGTTTTTTTCTTCCGATTTCCGCTTTCTCTCGCAACCGCTTTTACCAGAAACACCAATTGATCGATGAATACCTTCTGTCGTAAGAGGAACGCTCTTCTCTTTTGCCAGATGGTATTCCCCTGCGCTAACATCATGGAAAACATTTTCATTACGGTAACATACATTTCCCTAACTCGCGTATCTTGTTTAGCGCTTATCGCGGGATCAGTTTGATCCTCGCACTCGATAGAGAGATACCAATAGAAATAATTAGCCAGCATCGAGTTCTGACAAGCGCGAGTAATTAAAAATGATGCTAGATCCATAAGCGGTTCTTGGCTCGTCGACAACTGGCTCTCCGATTCACTAGACTGCAAACAAATGCAAAATCAAAGTAAATTAGGATTTGTGTATTTGTATCTGTAGCTGTAATGTATTTTACAATGTATTCGACAGAGATATATGCGTTGACTCACAGTTGTAACTGGGGTAGATGTAGACGCGCTGTTTCTTACGTCTTTGTCGACGTTCTCGGTTTTCTCGAGTTTCTCCGTTTTTTCCAATCTTTCGCTTCTTTCCAGTTTTTCAGTGCTCCAATTTTTCGACTCCGTTCTCTCTTCCTTCTCCTTCAACATCGCTTGATAAGCAGCCTTAATGCTTTCAAAGTCTTCATACTTCAACGCTTGTACCAATTGCAACAAGTACAACATTAAATCATCGTCCGGGGCTTGGTTAAGCCTGCTAATCGCGTATCTCCTAATAGCCGGATGAGTGAACGCGGGTCCTAGTAATTCTAAGGCGTCTTCGGAATCCGGCGGGGCCCATAAAGCTAGCATCTCCAAGGCTTGGCGTTCCTCACCGGCGACTTTCCAGTTAACGCACTTGACAAACTTGGTCAACGCCTTTTTCTGACTAGACAAATAAAATCTATACTTCCAAATTAAATCCTGTTCCTCGGTAGAAAGCGCGGTCGTTGGAGAATATCCCAATATCGTATTTAAGGCATCCCGCACGGTCGAAGTAGGTTTCACGTCGCGAGTATTACCGCCGCTACGTAAGCTGCGCGCCAATTTATGATGTTTTGCCTCCACGAGGTTCTCCTGAAACAAAACGTTGAAAATGTAGAGCTTTATATTCTCGAAAAATATTTGAGTTTAGGGCATACATCACCATTTCCTTTTGCAAGACCTTACTTGTAAAATCTCATAGTCAGGAAGCGTCACAACGTCTGGCTGTAATCTATGTTGAAAAACCTCGTCACCATCTTTTTCGTAATATACAATTGAATACTGTAATAAAATGAACGAGATACATTACGTTATCTTGTTACATAAAACGTATGCATCCGAACACAAAATTTTACACATATACGTACCGGTACACCGTCCATCGTTACCTCTGGAAATTCTATCATCAAATACAAGTATTCCGACGCTCTTTTCTCCCTCTCATTGATTAATTCGATCTCTCTGAAAGTCAATCTATCCAGCCAATCAATTTTGTTGATTTGTCCATTTCTGTGTTTCTTAACGAGCTTTGCTAGCCTCTGCATTTGTTCTTTCCCATGATCTCTGGCTTTCCCCGGGGTACTAGTCGGAACACCGCCATCAGCCTCTATCCCAGGCCATACTCTAAGGTCCAACATGCCTTGTCGATACACTCCATGCTTGCCGAATAACGATATAGTCGTACCACCTACTGGAAGCTGTCTACCAGGTCCCGCACAGTCGTACAGAGTTATACAGAGCTGAGCATCGCGTGGCAAATCCGTATAGGAAATTGGCAGATAGACCCACTGGTTCCAGCTAAAAATGTTATCTCAATATAGTAAAGAGATGTAGACGGGAAATGTGCGGTAGCAGAGGATGGCGCGTAACATTGTAAATGCAAAACTCAACGTACTTCCAACGGGTGGTAAAATGCTTATAGGCTGTATGCACAGGCAGGGCCAACGGTCTACCACCAGCCCATACTTGAAGAGACGCGGCTAGATCCCCACGAATTCCACCGCTCTCATACAGACCTGAGTATTTGAGTAAAGGGTCTAAAAGGAGCTCGTCGTATTCGGGTCTGTGTCTCTTGCCCTCTAACGTACCTCTGTAAAATAATAGACCAACGATATACGATATACCGTCTTGTGACGACGTGTCAGACGTCAGACGTCTAAAGACTGCCACGTATACGTATACGTATGCGTATGCACGCGGCACTAAAGATAAAGACTGAATGTTTCAACACGCATACACACACACGCACGCACTCTGATCCGATTATTTCACGATAGCATAATTAATGGATGTGTTTGCATCATATGGACGGAATGCCAAGATATTCTTATCAGGTGGTAAGCTGGTAACCTCATTAGATCAGTGTTGGACAGTAATAGATACGACGATATATAACGAAAACTTACATCTTAACTTGTATCCTGGTATCTAACGAAGAACTATAGACATAAAAAAACTTGTCGCTCGTATTCTCCATCGTGTCGCTGTCAAATAATCAAAAACTTTTCACGTATCCATCTCCGAGACTCGAGACTATGCATTACTCTGTACTCCACAAGTCCACTATACTCTACAATGTACACACCATACTGTTACACGTGCAAATATTGCACGTCGTATTGGTTAGGCATAAATGCAGATATACATATACATATATATCTATATAATTAACCACGTAATCAATGCGCGTGAACATCACGAAAAAGAAATGGTCCCCGTGGCCCGTGCGACTGCGACACGTGCGACGGGCACACCTGGGCACACCTGAAATACATACACCAATTTATCTATAATCGTGACATTTATTCCAAGATTGCGCGAAACTACACCGAGACCAACCGAGACCGAGCATCGTCGATGTTGCAGAGCGCTACATTATCATAATTAGAAAATTAGTAAAATAAACCCTGCATTTATACATATATGTATATCGTACGTGTTCAAGCGTGAAATCCGTATTTAAACTTGATAGTATGTACGTGTTGCGTATTTCATTGTCGCACGTTTATCCGTTTTATCGATGCAGCATTGAAGCCATTGAAGCATTCCCGAAATCGCAACTCTATTCAAATATACGTTGTTCGTGCTTACGGGACACTGCTTTGCTTTGTGCCTTTCACTTGGTACTCTTCGTAGTTCGTGTTTCTACGTTTCTAGTTTCCATCTTGATCCTAAAGACAGCGCCTTCAAGTTCCATTTTCCATTAAGTACTGTCCACGTTCGTTGTTCGTCCTTTTTGGGAAAAGTTCGAAAAGTTGCAGGCCGCGCGGTGTAATAACAAAGAAAAAACGTGTAATAATAAAGAAAAAACACGATGTTTGGACCGGGCGCAGCACCAATTGTGGTTCTCAGTAAGTCCAAGTCAACCTTTCGTCCGTCGTTTATTTGGCTATTGCCGCTATTGGCGTGGCGTGTAGAGCGTGTACGAGTGTTTCTAACCATAATGAATCTTCTAATTATCGCAGGCCAGAACACGAAGCGCGACACCGGCAGAAAGGTACAGAGAGAGAATATCCAGGCGGGCAAGGTGAGCGTCTATAATCTACAACCTACAACCCATAACCTATAACCTATGCGTCAGCGTTGTATCGCCTTATAAGGCGTTTCTCCGCTCGTGCGGCGTGCGGCTTCCCGAAGAGGCAGGAATCCGCGTGTCTCGGGTCTCGGGTCTCGCATCGAGTTGTCGCGTATTATTGACTTACACGACTTAAATACAACAGCTCGTAGATCGTACAAGTGACGTCGGTAAAACGTACTTTTTTTTCTGCGAGCGATTTATAACGTCACGTATATTATAATACACGTATGGCATAACTTTTTGAGTCGACGAACGACGCATAGGTATTACAGTCTCAATAATCAAGGCGTAACTTTCTCAAGTATACAAGATATTCATATATTAACAAGAGCTTTACATTTACACAAATGTTATTTTTGTACAAAGGCAATCGCCGACGTCATTAGAACATGTCTGGGTCCACAAGCCATGTTGAAAATGTTGATGGATCCGATGGGTGGTATCGTAATGACAAACGATGGGAACGCGATTCTGCGCGAGATCACTGTGCAGCATCCTGCTGGAAAGTCCATGATAGAGATCGCTAGGACTCAGGACGAAGAGGTAGGGGACGGTACCACTTCGGTCATCGTCCTGTCAGGCGAGATCTTGGCTACCGCTGAACCATTCTTGGAACAAAACATGCATCCTACCGTCATTATAAGAGCGTACCGTCAGGCTTTAGAAGACATGGTCACGATTCTTAACGAACAAGTCAGCATCGATTTAGATTGCAACGACAAGGACAAACTGGTCCAAGTAATAAACTCCTGTACGGGCACTAAATTTATCCGACGCTGGTCCGACATGGCTTGCCAAATCGCTTTAGATGCCGTTCATACGGTGATGCTCGAGGAAAATGGCAGGAGGGAGATCGACATCAAGCGTTACGCCAAGGTGGAGAAGATTCCCGGTGGCACGATAGAGGACAGTACTGTCCTGAAAGGTGTGATGATCAACAAAGATGTGACGCACCCAAAAATGAGACGTTACATCAAAGATCCGAGAATAGTCTTGCTGGATTGTCCATTGGAGTATAAAAAGGGCGAATCTCAGACGAATATAGAGATAATGAAGGATGTGGATTTTACCAAGATTTTGGAACTGGAGGAGGACCATGTGAAGAAGATCTGTGAGGATGTTATTTCAGTGAAGCCAGATGTCGTGATAACGGAGAAGGGTATATCGGATCTTGCTCAGCATTACTTCGTGAAAGCCGGCATATCCGCGATACGCAGGCTACGAAAGAGCGACATTAACAGAATTGCCCGTGCCTGCGGTGCCACCGTCGTCACGCGTACCGAAGAACTGAAGGAAGAGGACGTTGGCACGGGAGCTGGTCTCTTCGAAATCAAGAAACTCGGTGACGATTATTTCTGTTTTATCACGGAATGCAAGGATCCGAAAGCTTGCACCATCATTCTGAGAGGTGCCAGCAAAGATATTTTGAATGAGACCGAGAGGAATTTGCAGGACGCGCTGCACGTCGCCAGAAATCTTCTTATCGATCCAAAGCTGGTACCAGGTGCGTCATTTTATTTGCCTCGTCAAATCTTACTCTTCTTACCCATGTATTTTTTTTTCCTTCTCTTTCCTTGTTTCATAGGTGGCGGAGCAGTGGAAATGGCAGTATCTCGGCTCTTGACGGAAAAGGCGGCAGGTCTCGCAGGTGTGGAACAATGGCCGTACAAGGCGATCGCGCAGGCCTTGGAGATCATTCCCAGGACGCTCGCGCAGAATTGCGGCGCAAATACTATCAAAACTCTGACGGCGTTGCGCGCTAAACACGCGACGGAAGGAACTACTTGGGGCATCGATGGAGAAACGGGAAACGTGGTCGATATGAAGGAGCGCGGGATATGGGAACCGCTCTCCGTCAAGTTACAAACGTATAAAACAGCAATCGAGACTGCTATTCTGTTGTTGAGAATAGACGACATCGTTTCCGGAAGTAAAAAGAAGAAAAATGAGAATGAGACCGCGCAACCGAGTCAAGTTACGGAGGAATCTATGAAAGAATAAATATTTTCGATATTCATTGAAGCCTACGCGCTTTACGTTTACATTAAGATTCAATTATTTTGCATTTTCGCGTCAAATTTCTGTCTCCTGTGTACGCATTTTCAAAAAAATAAAGTGGCCCTCCCCCCCCGGGGGGCCCGGTGATCGTAAAAATCTGTTTCATATTATGTCCAAAATAACATTTAAATTAAATTAACGTTTTAAATTAAATACTTTGCTCTTTATATCAGATTCATTACACGATACTTTTTATATCATCGGTGAAATTCTGCAAATTTTGTACATCGCTCTTCTGTACTGTTCCTTGTTCGGTACGTTCGTTTTCTTCTGATTCTTTCCTTTCTATTACAGTAGTCTTCTTTAAGTTTGAATCCATACGTTCCGTTGGCAGGGACTTTGCGATGGAAGGATTCTTTGCATTATGCGACGTTACTAGCTGTACGTTAGACGTAGATAATTTAGAAGCCGAAGAATCTTTTTTAATAGGTAATAGTACAGCCACAGGTTCTACTATGCTTCGCTTATTTAAATACGTCATCTCCTGTAAATTATTTCACATCATTACACACGTTTTACTCCTTTTTACTCCTTTTTAAGGGCTCGTACCTCTTTCTGCAGCACACCGACTGATATTCCTAGATGCGTTGCAATTTGGCTAGGCGGAAAAATCGCGTGTATGCAATACTGTATATAAGGTATTACGTGTTCGCTCAAACATTCCGTGAACTTAATCATGTTTTCCCGTTCCGTGGCAGCAAATGCCTGTGACATAAATTATCTTTATAAAATATGGGATTTGCCTGTGAGTAAAAATTACGTGACATGAAAACCCACTTGCTGTTCTTGCTTGTAAAACACCAACATAGCTCTCGCCACATTATGCAACGACTCTTGTAGTACGTTTGTGCATAAAACGGAGAGTGCCACTGGTGCACAGAGTCTCAATTCATTGAACGCTGTTATTATCCCGTTGCAGTATTCAGCCAGAGGATAAAATTCTATCAGTTGTTCAGGCGGATTTTCCTACGAAACAGTGTAATGTTATTGAAAATCAGCGTAGACTTACCTTTAGAAGATACAATTTTACACTTACAGAATTAACGGAAGTCTCCATTTTTATATCGAGTCGTTGAGTCTTGTTAATCAACGTAAATGTTTCCATATCTTTCTCAAACTTTCTAGTTGTTCGACGAACGTTCCGCTCAAACCTTTCACCGATAATTCGTACAAATATATCCGACATTCGGCCAGTAAAATCGACGCCGACTCGACCAAACGATAATCCAAAATACGTACACTGACCCAAAATGGTATCTATAGACGTTACACCCGGTAAGTCCTGCTCTAGCGTAGTAAGAAATTGCGATATCTAGAAGAAAGAAACCTTAATCATATTTCTGTTATTTATCTGTTGTGTGCACTGTCCGTAACTTACCTTTTCCTCCAACCAATGATAAAATATCGCGGATTCATTTAGCGTCAAGTCACGACCGGGAATTACTAATTCATCGTCGTTAAACATGGCTTTGTACTGAGTTATTATATTGAACAAGTGTATCCTGGATAATTCTATCGTTTTGGCCATGTGAAGATTAGCTGTAACAGGCGCAAAATGTTTTGACTACGTCAGCTATTGTGTCTCGTATTATATTGTAATTTTTGAATGAAAATCTCTTACGGTCTTCCTTCGGTATTGCATTCAACAGGCCCTGAAGCCAGCTGTCTCTCGCTTGAAGGAATTTAATACGAAGTTCCGATTCTGTAAACGCGTCCATAGATCGCAACAGACCTACAAGCTGAAGACATCTCGGAAGTGGTAGGTCTCCTCTCAGAGAGCCAACTACCTGTCCTACCATACCCGACCAGCTGCTTTCGATCTCTGCCACTATAGACTGGAATGTTGACAAAAATTTAAAAAAATGTGAATAACACGGATAGCATCGAGGGAGAATGACCGAAACTGGGGAGAAGTCGCGTAAAGACACTTTTTGTTAAGCTTGTACCGAGATAATAGGAATATCTCCATGTTTCATTCCTAATTGACGAGCGTATTGAGACAATTCCAATGCTTCGTTATATTGGTTGCTTCTCAAACACGATTCCATCAATTGGGGCATCTCGAGAATTTCGAGTAACTCTGCATTTCGCGTTAGCGTTAAGCTATTTAATCTTCGATGCGCGTTAATATCTTTTGAGGTATCGCAAAACGATTGACATTTTCCTACAAATTCTGGGATCTTTTGTACAAGCTTGTCAAGACGATCTTCGGTCTCATTGAACTGAAAGTGAAACAATGCGATTTGTTAACTTGCAGTCTTTCTGTACAGATCTATAAGTATAATATATATTTCTTTGAAATTACATGATTGAGTATCTCTCGTGAGCTTTCTGCTGTCTGAATAAAAGTTTTGTAGTTTGCAAATACCAATTTCTGTGTAGTCTGAAGTACTGCGTTTTTCTCATCGGACAAATGATCAGGTTCTTTACCTGAAAATTTTTGGAGCAGGATAAATCTGTGTCTTTCATTATTGACGCATAATGCAAAATTTAGATGGATAATTATGCTGAATAATAAATAATAAAGGTGTATTCTTACTTAGCTGATCTACATCGAAGCCTCCAAGTTTTGACAGATACTGATAAAAATTGGGATTTTCCTTCCAAGAGTCTGATGAAGTCGCAGTTGCGTGTAATAAATACATGTAGAATGTAGATACATCGTTGTGCAATAATGCATTAACAATTAATTTCAAAGTAACAAAATTAATCTTACCTGGAATACCTTCCGGAAATATTAGATTTATCACATTTTCCGTTTCGATATCCATGATTTTCTTGACTACTAACTATGATCTATGATAATAATAATCTAGTATAATATTGGCCGAATCATTGAGACAGGTGGCAAACGTCAGCAAGATACGTTTTTCTCCAACATGTCACGTAATTTAACGGCTCCTTTCATAACGTACGTATCCCGAAGAATAAAAAATTTTTATCAATCTAGATTATAAAAAATAATTTTCTTGTTTTGCGATTATAAAAATTTGGCAAACACTCTCTTTAGATTAATTTATTACGGAGGTTTTCTATGAAGCGACGCGTGCGACACCGACACGTCATCTTTAAAGCACGAGCAATCAGCTGATCGTGGATCGCCCCGCGCGCCGTGCCGCCTGGAGGAACGTGACGGAACTGACGGCCGTCTATAGTCTATAGTCAAACTACTTATTTATAGTCAAAGGCGTGATCACAAGCCCGCGAGTCCCGCGAACCGCGACACAACTTGATGCTTGACGATTCGATTCGATTAAATTTATGAATTGAAAGTTTTCTGAAAATCATCAGCCTGATTATCTCACCGCGCAAGAAATGGCTTTAAATCTAATCAAACAGGTATATCGTATTTTCGAGTGGTATCTTGGAGTAAAATAACCTGATAACCTGAATTTTACATTATTGGGCTCTTGTATTATTTATGTTGTATCGTTATACTCATATATTGAACTGTCTAACAATTTAACTTTATTCTAGATCACAGTGCTTGGACAACGTTCACTAACAACAAAAATCTTATCGATAAAATTCTATACCGGAAGTTTGTACGAGCCAGATTATTTACAGGTCAGATCAGGCTTCTAGAGATTCTAGATCACAAGTATGTACCTAACTAAAGTATACGTAACGTCTTGTCAGCTTTTTGATTTTTACAGACAGGAAAATCAAACGTTCCACTTCTACCTGTAATAAATGTGCAAATTAAGAGCTACGATTATCCTGTGCTCGAATGTTATCAGTCTTATGTACACAAGTTGGCGGATGTCATACAGATTGACGTAGACAACGGGTAAATTTGCATTAAATTGCTTTTAATGCAAATCACTTTCAATTTCTAATACAATCCGCATTTTTACAGCTGGCCGTTACCGCCTCAAGAATTCAAGATTCAGAAATATAAAACTGGAACGACCAAGATTGCATCCGAGTACAATCTCAAAATTTATGAAAGAAATATACAAATGTCGGAAGTATCTTCTGTAAAATGTTCAATATTAATCAGGGCATTGGAAGCCGCTTTACCACAGGGTGTCATACTGAATGTAAACGTTTACGATCCCGCGCTAGAACAGAAGCGATATATACCGGACAAAGAATTGATTGATTTGAAATCTGCGTTGGATACGTTAAAGAATAAAGCCTAATATATAAATATATAGAGAGAGGTATACAGACATTGTTGTAGGTAATGTAGGATTTACGTGTAAACAACACTTGTATATGTGTATGTACATTGATGCAAAGATACTCTTTTCAATGTGTGTAAATTTTTAAAACAGTAAAAAGTTAAGAAAATTATACACAGAATTAATCAGTGAAAAAGTTTCTTTTGTTAACTTTTCTAAATAATTATACAAAAAAAAATACACACATACAAAAATACATTATACAAAAAAAAATGTATAAAAATATTTCAATAAATTATTTTACATTATTCTTATTGTCTCTGGATCGTAATTAGATTAAAATTAAATATTAAACTTAATTCTCTTATTATAAATAATATCGGACCTCTGTTTTGTTTATTAATCTTCTATCGCACTGTCCTTCCATGAAGTCACGCGCGTGCATATGTGTCCGATAAATTAATAATTAATCATACGTAACTCATTATATTATTTCTTTGAATAACACTGGTTTACAATAAACCAAAATGTACAACTTTAATCTTTGTACTGTCGTCAGTCTTGGGAGATTCTTTAACTTTTTCGTCCGCGTTGTCTTCTGCAAAATATTAAAAATTAATATTAGAAAAAATCATTGTGCACAATTTGCGTTGTAAACAAAATGCTTCTTAACAAAATAACTGTACTAATACCACTAATGCAAAATGCTTACTACATAGTGGTTGAAAATCTTTAAGGTAATCTTCGTTACCCAGGCAAAGTGGAAGGCTTTCAGCTAATTCACGTTTAGGATCCGTTATGTGTGTAGTTGGTGCAGTAGTTCGTTTCTGTCTATATACTTGAGTCTGTAAAAGCATATACATATATACATATTATATATGTATATAGATGTGATATATAAATATATACAGATATTTTTCAACTACTTACTGTGCCAGGTACTAATATGTGAGTGACAGTATCTGAAAACTTGACTTTTGGTTTTTCGTTAGACAGAGAGCTTGGCGTATCGGCGAATGACGGACACGTGGAGCAAATCTTCAAATTAGCGCTAGACGTATTAATTACAGGCAGAGGTGGTACGTTAGAAAGCATCTTAGTTTCTCTATTCGCATTAACCGTTGTATTGTTTAAGGTAGATCTCAACGAGTATCTATTCTCGAATAACCCATGTTGCATGCTGTAGCTAGGATGAAAGTTCCGCGAGGGAAGTCTTCTGTTAACCGTTTGTGAAAGTTGTAAATCTGTGTCGTCACGAGTACCGTGAAATGGTATGTAATCTAGATCGTAATTGTATCTATATGTTTTGAAAGATAGAGATGTTTTCTGACTTTCAGGGATGTTCGATGTTGTGGAATTCTGTTTTTGTAAAGCGCCCGACGGCATGTGTGTTTTATTCGACGCAAATTTTTCTGATTCTTTAATATTTGATAAACCTTGAGCGCTCCTAGATAAAAGATAATTTTTTTTAGGTAAACTATGAAGGTAATTAGTGAGAGAACTTATCAGAGAAGGTGGTGGTGGTGGAATAGCGACGCCTGTTTCCTTTTCTTCCGTAACAGGATGTAATTTAACGGTTTGATCATTAACGTTGTTAAATGTGTTGGGAAATGTAATATCGCTACTTTCAGGAGTCGCATATCCTTCGGGATAATTAAACGAAGTAGACATCAGATTGGTATAAATACGATTCGGAAAAGCCAATTGATCCGTCAAATGAGTATTAGCATCAATGAGAGCTTTAGTTAGCGATTTATCAGATACCTTTGAAGATTTTACGCTTCGTGATATCGAAGTTGTTTCAGAGTTATTGTTCGCTGTTAGCGCATTGACAGAGTTACTATGCGAGATAGGAGCGCTAGCGACTCGAGTACTGAATGACGTCGACATAATATTATTGTCAACGATGTTTAAGCAGTTCGTCAAATAATTCGATTGAATATCTTCTGATTCGTATATTGGCTTATTGAAAGGTGTAGAAATAAGGCTGTCGTCTTGCGCGCAAGTTGTTATTACATTGGTGGCGGAATATCCATTGAAAGAATATGGTATTTCGTTAACTAACGATTTGTCGTATAACCTTTCGTCGAAATTATTGCCAGACTGATCATCGACCATTACCTCCGATTCAGTTAGAGAAATACTACCGAATGACGTGGTCATCAAGTCGTCTGATGCATTGTTAAACACTTGAGAACTGTTAATCGTGTTCACCGCGCTGGTCGGGGTAAAATTCGAGTGTGTACTGTATAATGATTTGTTAAAAGAGGTCGATGCTAGAAATGGGCTTGAAATGTCCGAAGAGTGATTAAACGAAGTTGTTAAAATATTATCAGACGTGTCAAGAGACGAAGGCACTAAGATATAATCAGTCTTAGTATTGGACGGAATGTTGTTGTAGGATGCGCAAAGTGTGTTCTTCGCGGTATGATGAGGATGGACAATCGGTAAGGGTGGGATTTGACTCGAGTTGGAAGCTTTTCTATAACGACGCCTTTTTGACCGTTTCAAATTGGGTCGTTCTACTCTTTGAGAATCTTCGCTCTCTTCGCTATACGTTGCTATCTCTTCCTCTTTCTCTTCCTCTGCCTCCTCCTCCTCTTCCTCCTCTTCCTCCTCCTCTTCTTCTTCCTCTTCTTCTTCTGCCTCCTCGTTCTCTCCCTCTTCTTCCTCCTCCTCCTCACCCTTCTCATTGCTCGAATCAGAACATATAGAGCATGATGTTCTCGAACACGTGGAATCTATAAAAGTTTCTAGATATAAGGTGTGTCTAAAGCTTTATAAGCTTTTTTTTTTTTACAAATTTGGTCAATTCTTACGCGAGCCACTGCAACTGTTTGATCTGCTTAGAATACTCTCAGCTTTCTCTTTTGCTGCAGTTGCCAGTTCCATATCATTCAAGACCGCAGCATAGAAATGTATGTCCATAAAAAGATCGTGATCATTTAGATCAATAGCTAGCCGGAAAGCCTTTTCAAACATCTTATACCTAAGAAGATCATAATCGTAAATTTGGGATAATTAAACAGATTCGTATTGCGTATGATGGTTGCATGATAACAATGATCAGGTAAGTAATGCGCTACCTTAATAAATGATGGAAAAATCGCCTCGTCAAATCTCTTACTTCGTCGCCATATTCTTCTTCGACAGCTTGGCTTATTGGTTTGATAGGTATGTGGAAACTGCCCAGTGCGTTCTGTATCAGACCTATTAGATCTCAGATTAATTAGGTTAGAATAATAAGATTTTAGTTTTTTAAACATTCGTAAATAATATAATCTTTCTTAATTAACCACCATATTACAAAAATAACGAAATTTTATTTTACCTTCACGTTCCGTGGTCAATGGTAACTTGAACAAATAATTTAAGATTTGATTGAGCGAATGCATGCATACACGTGGATGCGTATCCCAGTTCATCGACAACAACAAGGAAGTCGCTTGTTCTATCCGGGATTCTGACAAATATCTTCTGACCAATTCATCCCCGGAAAGAGTATCACCTTCGATCATCTTAATAACGCCAATCGGACCTCTGGTAATACAGAATACAGAACAAATTATCATATAAATTTATATAAAACATGGTGCACAAAATGATAGTCCTTACCGTTCAAAAAGTAACAAGAATAAAGACGTGCCATTACTGTAGTAACGAATCTGATTCGGGTCGCTTTTCTTGTTCCACTCCATATTTACCAAGGCATGCTGATTCCTGCGTTGTATAATTATTTTGCTAATCAAATTTTATGTGCTGACATAATCTTATCGAGAAGTTATTTCATGATTTATACCTAAAATATGATGATAAGTCGAGAATATTTGCTGGCGTTGCCTCGTCGCTTAATGTCTGGGTTTTGATGCACGTTAAAGTGATATCAAAATGTTGAAACTGGCCTCTATCATTACCTACCACAAATATTATACCGTCGCTATGCCAAGCGGCTAAAGTGGGTATCTTAAAGAGGAAAAGAAATCAATAAAACCTCAAGTCAATCCTTGTAAAACGCATTTCTAGTAATACATATGTATATATTGTACAATTATGTGAAATTTACGTATTTAATTTATATATCGATAAAACTTACAAAAGCGGCTTTTACACTGGTACTTGTCGACTTGATTTGATCGTACATCATAACAGTACCATCGATGCAACACAGAAGTAATAATTCCTGATTAGGTGAAAATCTCACGCAACTTGTATGCGTTGGCAATTGTACGGAAATCACAGCGATCCTTTTTAATTTATTCTGTCGGGAAACTTCATACGTACGCCATTCTACGGTCACTTCTCCCTATGTATCATGATATCCAAATTTACAAAAATACACATTTCCTTTTCTAACACAGCATATTTAATACATGTATTAAATTAGGAAACACATAAGAAATTAAGAGCTTATAATTACCTTCCTTGAGACTTTTTGTTCTACAGAATGAATAATATTGTCATCGCATGCATCAAACGTAATACACAAGGGATCGAATTCAGTACGTATGTAACATAATAATTCTAACTTTGTTCTGAAAATATGAATCATTAGATCCATTCATTCTTATACATAATTATTATATCACAGTGCTTGTATGTACGTACATGCATACAGGGTTTGCACAGGTGTTTGTAGCAAATTGATTTACATAGCAACGAGCATAGTAACGTAACTAGCCATGCTTGATAGAAAGAATTGTAATAGCAAGCACAAGTACATACATAAAATAAAAATTTATGCGTATTAAATTTATTTAAAAAAAAGGAGGGAATTATATAAAAATGTCTCAACATTGGCACGGTCATTGGACAGAAGATGCATTTACTCCGAAAAGATTGCGAAATTGGGAAGTTCCTAAATGGTATCCCAGTTGGCCTGACAGGCATTGTGTCACTACGAAATTTATCGCGGATGATAATGGACGTATATTAGACAATGCCAAAAGAGTCGAACATTCGCCGTGGGGAACATTTAAAGTTTGTATAAATTAATATCACGTATGTAGTAAAATATTTTCAAGAATCTCAATTATTTAAAACCAACGTTATCATTATAAATTCTTAAATTTATGCATATATGCAGCATATAGAGATTATAATAAAAAAATATTATATTGTATAAAAAAGGGCACATGGAATTTGCCAAAGAAAATTACTAGAAGCATTGCCAAAGAATTATCAATATCGTCTCAATATAAGAGAGATTCATGGGACGCGCACAAGAAGAAACATCAGAGTTTATGTAAGAAGATAAAAGAACATGCAAACAAAGATGAGGAAAAGAAAGTCATCGAAAGGAAATTATAAAAAGATAGTTATATAAGCAAAGAAAATCAAAACAGACAAAAGTACATGTACACACGCAAAGAATCTTATATAAATGCTAAAAAGGAAGAGGAAGATAAAAAGAGTCTGTTGACGTCAATCTCATACCCTGTAAGTTGAAAGAGATGCATGTTTGCTCGATGGTATTGTTTCATAGCTGGACTCCAAGGGTAAACTTCGTTCATTGTAGATTTTCGCCAAATTAATATCTATAAAAAACACGTCGCGGCGTCGTTTAATTCTTATAGATCACGTACAAAATTTTCTACTTATAGTTAAAAAAAAACTGCATCTAGAAGCTATTTACCAACGTAGCAGACTTGTTTACTTGAATTTTCTTATCCAATCTGCGTCCATTAGGTATAAATAAGTCCGTTGTGATTAACTTGGGTTCCAACTTGCTGATCTTATCGAAGACGTGTGTTTTAGATTTTGTAAAATACACCAGGGTCACTAGATTATCATTGTACGTACAAACCAAATGACTTTTGGTAATAATTACTGCAAATAAATTAAGACACATTATGTTTGAGCGTATAATAAATAGCTTCTGGTGGTGGTTGAAATAATGGCATCATACCATCAGATATATGTTCGGATAGCTTTCCTACAAGATACTTGTCAAATGAAATTTCTTGTATGTCACCACTGAAGAGACAAACTTGTATTTGCACCAGTAAGCCATTGCTAAGCATTAATTGTGCAACCGAATCATCGTACCACTGACAATAAATTACAGAATTGTCTCTGAGCTGATCCTAGAAGTGACAATATATATATATATATATCAATGCTATATTACGTTATATTTATATAAGATTCTCAAATAGAGAAAAGAAAGGTGTAGGTGTAGGGATTTATTATACCTCGAGGTATTTAATGGAATGTTTTAATTTGTTTCCCTTTTTGTTTTCTGGGACGTAAGTCATACCACGTTCTTGGCAATAAGATCTTTTGCCTTCTTCATACGTGCCATCGATACGTTTATCGTGATATCTGAAAAATCAGGAGCAATCAAGTTGTTACGACAGCATAAACAGTGGAAACTGAAAATTAGTAATAGGGGTAATAGGATAATGTGTTCTTTACTTAAATGCACCGAAATCCGTGACGTTTATGTTTACATTGTCGTCGAAAGTCCAAAAGTTTACTTCTCCCGTTAACGCAAACATTATTAAGTGCCAGTGCCCTATGAAATATACAAAAAAAAAATCACGGAGCACACACACGCGACAGTGACACTCGCGAGACACTCAAATTATGTTATATGATAAAAACAACAATAATACACAATTACGAGATAGTCGAGACTCGAGATGTTGCCGTCGCACACGACTCCAAGAAAATCCATAACCTATCTTCTGCTTCTATAAACGTGGGTCTGTTTCTTTTAGCTGCACTGGGCTGAACTGGTGCAATAAGTTAGAGTGAGACAAGTATATTATATTTTACTCTAACTTACTGCACTAGTGTGCACCAGTTCAGCCAGTGCAGCTAAAAGAGAAACAGACTTCAAGTCTTCCACACTTTCACAAGAATTGACCACGCACAGTCGATTATTCTCCAGTCTCCTCAACGTCGCGTGTGCGTGGTCAATTCTTGCGACTATAGGTTTGTCGCGTTGCTTAAATCCCCAAATATTTTTGCACTTGAAATGAGATAAATATATATATTCGGCCGTTGGAGAGAGAGAAAGCGAAGATGCTGAGTGCAAAAAGTGCAAGCAACGCGAATAGAGTGTATGGCACGTCTAGGGACTCTAGGGCTGCGATCCGATTGGTCCGATTCACGCCACCACGCTCACAGCAGTCACAGCGCTGAAAGCATTAAGTGGCACCCTGGCACCTTACCCATCTTACCTATATATTCTTATGTTTATGCTCTAACCTCTGTTTTTCGTGAATCGTGTAATGTGCACATACCACTGCATACCATGAAGAATAGAAGATTGTTCTGGATTCTTCAAGATACGTTGTATGTACATACATACACTCTGCAAATTTCACTTCAAGTAGGATTCTCGATTCTGTAGTCTGTACTGTCTGTAGGATCAGTAGATCAGTAGGATTGTGTTTCCTGTCGTGTCGTGTGTGTTGACGGAGGATATATAAATAAAATTTTAAAAACTCATGACATATTACATAAAACGTGATATTGTACCCCATAAAGAATAAAAATACGAAAACTTTTGGGGAATATAATAATTAGAAGAAAATGGCTGAAGAAAGTAAAAAAATTTCTTTTGGTTTTGCAAAGTCTATAAAAAAGCCAATTTTGGACAAACAGAAGCTATACGAGGAGAAGAAAGTGGATTATATCGAGTGTCTAGATGAAAAGGCGATTAAAGTAATTGGGTAAGTCAAAAAAGTTTATTATAACGAAAAAAAAAAAAAGGAAAACTAGGATGCGCTTGTAACCTCAATCTCGATCTGACCTTGTCTTCAAGTCTTTAATAATGCTTTAAATGTCAACTGTAATATTTGCCTAAAGGGTAAATATTTTTTACATTTTTTGTTTCCTTTAACTTGGTACCTAGTTAAATCAAACATTATTAGATTATATAGATTTATAGATATAAATAATCTTAGTACAAACAATCATTTTCTGTAGACAAGTTTGACAAGGATACATTTGTTTAGGAAAGAAGAGAAAAAAGAAGAACCTCTTATTATTCCACTTTTGGAGTCTAATACCTGGCACAATAGAATCGTTAGCAAAATAGATGCTTCAAAGTCAAAAACAAGTAAAGATGTGATACAAAATGTCAAGGTTAAGGAAGAGTCAAAAGAAGTATCAAATGGTGTTTTGACATCACGTAATAAGGCTGTCTCTTCTTCCAACGTACAAATAAAAACAGACGTGTCCACTGAAAGTAAAACCACCCTCACTTTGGATGAGCAGGCAGCTAAAGAAATCATAGAAGATCTCAAATCGACAGAAAAGAACCAAGATGAATTATGTGATATAACTTTATCTTTAGTTAAGGGACAGGATTTAAAGGGTGCGGAAGAAGTGAGTGCTTTTTTCTGATTTTCTGTGATAGCTGATATTATATCAGTGATACAATATATTAATGTCGTATATTTAAATTGTATAAAAATATTATATGGTATATATTTCTTTTTTTTTTCTATTATAGAGTACATTAGAAGATTACGAGAAGGTGCCACCAAGTATCTTTGGTTCAGCTATGTTACGAGGTATGGGATGGAAACCTGGCGAAGGAATCGGTAAAAATCCAAAGTAAGAACTTTGCCTTCGTCTTAGATGTGAACCGTGTAGATGTTGTGTATATCTTTATTTTGCATATGTATATATATATATATATATAGATTACAGATTTTAGTCGTATTTCTTTCATATTTTTATGTATCTGTATTTGCAGACTTGTAACACCCACTGTACCTGAATTACGGCCAATAGGGATGGGACTTGGCGCAGATAAGATAGCTTTGCAAAAACATGATGGAAAAACTTGGAAAAAAGAGGAAGAATTACGAATAGAGAAAGGAAGTTTTATAAAAATTATTGCTGGCAAGCGATCCAACGCATATGGCCAAATAGAAGGCTTTGACGATGCGGGAAGATTAATCGTGAAAATGGCACTGAATGGAAATATCGTCTCCGTGAACGAGGGCATAGTTCAAGTAGTAACAAAGGCGGAATATTCGAAAAATTCTAAAGTTCTAAGTTAGTAAATGAAGCAAGTTATTTCTCGAGGGACTCTTAAATGAATGTGTAAAAGTATATTTCCGTAACAATAAAATTTTACGATTTTCTGTTTGTAAATAGGTTAATAAACAAGGTTTATTAATGATATGATGATTGGCTACAAAATTTGGAGTTGTTACTGTTTTAACGTTCTTAGGGTGTGTCGTAGCCATATATTGAGAATTCAAGTCAGAAACGAGAAATAACGCAAAGAACTGTACTCGAAAGAAATATGTACATTTACAAATACTTGATAAGATGTGTTAAAAAGAGAAATTTTTGACATATTTTACCAACTTGTACTATCAAACGTGAATAGTCCAGCATACGTCCAAAAAAAAAAAAATGAATCTGTTTCACGTACGCGCGTGCGCACGTATATGAGCGAGTGGCCGACACATAAATTCAATGTTTTTTAAAAGTCCCTGTATAATCCGTTGACTTGTATAAAATTATTGCAGTTTTAGTTTGTAGTATTCGATGAAACTGATTTCAGATGCTGCTAAATATGAAGAACATAAGAAAAAGGAAGATGCAAGCAAATCAAGATCTGCATCATTGGAAAATTTTAGCACGAACGGTAACAGCGATTCAGATATACCTGATAGAAAAAGGAAGCACAAAGAGAATCATCATGCCCATGGACACAGATCGAAGAAATCAAGTAAAAAATCAAAAAGCCAACGAAGGGATTCATCTGACAGGGAGAGGGAGAGGGAGAGTGACAGTGACAGTGACAGTGACAATAAGAAGGGAAATAAAACTCGAAGGCGCTCCAGTAGTAGCGATAGGACTAAAAAGACAAAGAAATCCAGGAAACATAAAGGACGAGATAAGGAACGAGAACGACGAGAGGATAAAGTATCAGGACCCTTGGAATCTTTCGATAGAAGAAAATCCAAAAAACACAGGAGATCACGATCATCCAGTAGACGATAACGTATATAAATCGCAACATACATAACATAACATACATAGATACATAAATGTTTTACGTTCTATATCAACTTGTACAATTTTATTTATATCTCTTTTTAATAAAACATATTTTTCCATATGGTTTAGTCTTTTTCAGGTAAATTTCCAATCGTATCCCTTAATTGATACCGTTTTACTCTGGTAAAAAGGTTGGGGCTGTATTTTATTACAGCATAAAAAAAATATACAAATTAAGTTTAATGGTAAAATTCGATGTTACGTCAATCTTGTAAATGTAAATAATAAATTTGACAGAAAGATGGAAGGAGAGAGAAAACATTTATTTTGAACTTGAAGCAACACAGAAGTTTATGTGCGAAGTTTAAATTTAAGTAATTCGTTACTTTTGACGCTTGATGAATATTTACAAGCGACGTAAATCCTATTGTCATTACATCAATAATTTCTTGCCAAGATAATACATATATATCATTTGAGGTTAAATACAACACATGGTTAATACAAGGACGAAAGATTCGGTTTTTCTACTTTATCTACTACGTAGATTACGTAGAAGTAGATAAGTACTAGTGGTTTTCCTTACGTCATCGAGTTAAAACCAACTAACTTAACCTGTCATGTTGCGAGCGAGTGTCGCGCAGTACGGAACGAGAACAATGACTAGTACGTGTACGATTATTCCTTCTTCGCGACATTTTCGAGATTGCGCGAGTATTTCTGTGTGTCCAACGTAAAAAGTAAAAAGAAGCAAAGGACGCAAGGTTCTATTGACTATTACTGTTGGTCCGGTTGGTCGAGTAATCTTTGAACGAGCGATCGCTCACTCTATCCCCTGACCCCTGACCCCTGTGGCCTGTGCCCTAGCTGTACTCAGCTGTAATACTGCTGTCTGCTGTATAATGTGCTCCGTGTGCTCCGATTGAAATTTTGAATTTTGAATAGAATAGTTGTATGCAATCAAATCACCCTACAGCCTACAGCGCTAGGTATCCTACGACCTACGATATTTCAGACTGTTATTGTTTCATTTTTGTGATATTTTAATTCGGATGGAGAAGGAGAAATGACTTATATATAGACTCTGCCGACATGAAACTCGACGGCCTCGACGCGCAATGTGGCAATGCGGTGCAAAGTGCAAACTCGCTAGCATATTGTACTTGTAATTATGTAATTGTAATTGTAATTGTAATTGTAATTGTACTTTCAGCTTTTCGTCTGGCGTTGGTGCAGCTGGCCGTTGGCGATGACAAGGCAACGAATGTCTCGCGAGCCGTTTCTTTCATCGAGCGTGCGAAACAGGAGCGAGCCGACATCGTCACGCTGCCCGAGTGTTTCAACTCGCCGTATGGAACGTGTAAATAAAAAGAGCATAAATACTTTTAACACGTACTTATCTCTTCATAAAAATTACACGCTCTATATCCTCGAGAGTCGAGCCCACATATAATATTCGGATCTGTCGGATCCGAATATTATACGAACATTATTACCTATTATTATCTGGTAGGATCAGAAGGAAAGCTTTAATAATTTCTAAAATTCAGTTTTGAAATAAGGCTGTTGCCGTTACTAATCGAGATGCCGAGATGCGAATATAATACGCATCCGCAGGAGAGTAAATGTTTCGTCCTCAGCATATATCTCTTATTAAGTATTATAT